TTCCAAGGTTAGAATTAATGGTGGACTGCCATTACTTCTGGACTGGTGTGGATCCTAGGGGTCCAAAATCCAGTCTGCATGCCTGTGCCACAATGCTTTAACCACTGAGCCACTTCCACAGTCCCCAAGATTTCCATATTTTATAAGGCTCCATTGACATGTACCTGCAGATATGTTCAACATGGATATAATTTATTTATATTGACTATGATATTTTATATTAATTTTTTAAGGTTAGCATACAAAGCAATGGGTTTCATCATGGCACCTTCACAAACACTTATAAAGAGTTTTTAAAAATGAGCATTGCATTTGTAATGGATATTTTAAGTAATGTTTTTATCTATTCTTTGAGAATTTCATACAATATATTTTGACCACATTTGTCCCCCCAACTCCTCCCAGATCCTTCTACTCAACTCTATTCCCCACTGCTCTATTTAAAAAGTAAACAGAAAACCAAATCCATGGAGACCAGTTTGTGTCAGCCTACTCCAGGGCGTGGGGCGGGGGCTGCCTTAGAGTGTGGTTGATGACCAGATATCACTCCTTTGAAGAAAACTGTTGTTCCCTCTCTCAGTAGCAAACTCCAATAACTCCTCGGCCAGGACTGGGACTTTGTGCTCTTCCCCCATCCCTCTGTGCTGGAACTTCTGTCTAGCTTGAGCTTGGGCAGGCTTCCTGCATACTGTCATGATCTCTAGGGGTTTGTGTGTACATCTCTGTTGCATCTGGAAAACATTTCCTTGAAGTCATCCACTATTTCTGGCTCTTAAATCTTTTTACCCTTGTTCTAGTCTTAAGGGAAGGCGTGTGAACTAGACAGCCTGTTTAGGGCAGAGCACAATGCATATTTTAAGCAAAAAATGTCTGTATGATGGTTTTAATGGTTGACACCCATTACATATCCATGTCGTTTAAATATCCATGCTTTAAGGTTGGAGAGACATGTCTTTGTCTCAAATGAATCCTGCAGGGTTCAGCAGCCTCTAAGTTCCAGTCTCCCTCTCCGTCTTCAGGGTGGTGGTGCCCTCCTCACAGGCTCTGATATCTTCAGGAACACCTGTAATACATTTATTCAGCTATGCCGAAGTTCAGAGGTGGCAGTTGCTGCTTTTCTGGTAGCTTTTGTAAGAGGGATGGTTGCTGCCATCGGAGGAAACGGAGGAATGGCGAACTGTCATGCTGGAAGGAAGAGGAGACTATCATGTGTGAGGGTCACATGTTCCCAGACAGGATGTTTCCTTACATAACTCTGTTGTCATCTCCAGGAGGCATGCCAAGGAGTTCACAGGCTGCATTCTGCAAAGAGGAAAACTCAAGCATCACAGCAGTATTAGAAAGCAAGAGAGGGGGATCTGCAGGCCATGGGAAAATGAGAAAAAAAAAAACCACGTTGGTTGTGATGAGAAGATTAACATTTCCAAAAGAAGCTAAAGTCTCTCTTATTTTATACCATTACTATTTCCATTACGACAAAAATGATATGATATGGTAGGAAGCTGTGAAATGGAAGGAATTCACAATCCTTCCTCCAACAGGAACAATACTCTTAAAATGTTTTTTTTGTTTCATTAATTTCATTATGTAGATGAGGAGACTAATATTTAGGTTGATGGTACACACCTGTAATCTCAGCCCTCAGGGGGCTGAGGTAGGAGGATTGCAAATTCAAGGTCAGTCTGGGCTATATGCAGAGAATCTCTGCCAAAAAGAAAGTTAAACAAACAAAGCAACAAAACAAAACAAACAACAGCAACAAAAACAAAATAAGCCGGGCGTTGGTGGCGCACGCCTTTAATCCCAGCACTCGGGAGGCAGAGCCAGGCGGATCTCTGTGAGTCCGAGGCCAGCCTGGGCTACCAAGTGAGCTCCAGGAAAGGCGCAAAGCTGCACAGAGAAACCCTGTCTCGAAAAACCAAAAAAA